CTAAATAATTTCTTATACTATCCGTTTTAAATATTCATTTTAAAAAATTGTCAAAGCGAATGATTTGAAACATGAATTGCCGCAAATTTCGCCTGTCCTACATACAGTGAAATCTATCTAGTTTTGTTTTTACATAAACTTTATATTTGTTCATAAACATAAAAAGCAGTGACAGTACATGTGGGCGAAATACACAAGGTATTTAATATATCCGATTAGGGCCAGACATTATAGCTACATATACTTCCTGGACCTCTAGAATATGGGCTGTAATTAATACAAGATTATCAATCTGATTGGTTTGGTAAATACATATCATCGCGAAATTCGCATAATCCTTGTACGTTAAGCCTGTAGAAGAAAATAAAAATAATCGATGGAACACAAGGTTTATCGAAATATTACTTTCATGATTATATATTGTTTTACATAGTGTGCAGATATTCTCTCTAAACCATGAAAGTGGTTACTAAGAATGTACGTCAGATCATCTTACATTCAACCTTTTGTGATAGTGAATGTCTCCTCGTCATAACTACAACCTTAAATATATCTGGAGATATTGCACCCTGTCTACTTCATAGTTAAACACTAATTTATTTTCAAAACAAATGATTGGCTTAAATATTTACAAAAAATAATTTGAGTTATTCTTTTAAAACAATCCTTTCAACATTTGACAGTTTAGTCAATAAGAACTCTAATTTCAAATTTTAAAAAAACCTCCTGTCTCATCTGTTCTAATTTTTTTTTTGAAAAATAAAGACTGAAGTAGGCAAATCTCCAACAACAAATTTTAATGTAAACTTAACAAACTTTAAGAAGTATAGAGAAGTATTCCTAAATTCAAAAATAGATAAACGAAAAGCGATATCACAAATGAATTGTTCGAGTTAACAGGGTGGAGAACGTGGATTTCGTTCTACACGACTAATCAAATAAAGCTTTTTTCATTGTTGAGAAGAGAAACAAAGAAATATTTGGGTCGTTGAGACTATATGCTTTCTCTAGATTAATAGATCTCATAGGACATACATATACAATAACCAATGACTGTATGACTACAGATTACTGTCAGTTTTAAATCGCACAAAGAATAATCACAGTTTCATAAATTCCATTATCAAATTAATTTATAACCAACATTAAAAACTATTAGTTTTTCAAATTTTTTATACAATACCCATAAAACGAACTGTGATCAATGTTGGTTAGTTTTGCACTTCTTTACTACCGAAATGAATAAATTCTTATTCGTAAACATTTCTCATTAGAGGCTGTTTCAGTCAAGATACAAAATCCAGATGTTTAAATTCGTTAAAGATTACGTTAGTAACATTTACTCGAGGACCTATTGGTCTCGCGTGCAAACGCTTAACCTCGAGACCACCGAGCCGGCATCCAACGGTGTTAATGTCTAACTTCAACTAATCCACGAAAATGAGTGACACATCCACCATTGTCTTCACTGAGTTACTGCCTCACAACAGACCCGGTTGGACTCCACTGCTCACTGCTTCTTACTAGAACTTTAGGAAATACCTCATGAAGTTAGTCACTAGTGAGCATATGTTGATTAATATCGGCAGGGAATTTTTGGATATAATAGTAATTTTAATAGATGATATCATGAGTCAGTTAAGCTAGACCACCATGGAAAACCATGGAAAATTAAATACTCCACATCTGGTTTAACTTGTAATAAAGAACATTCTCTGAAATCAAAACAAACATTATCATTTAACGTGAAGTTAACACTTTAAAAATTAATCCAACTGGATAGAAATGTCAGACTATGAAGTCTTATAACTAAAGGTAATCATCAGTATATTGTTTAGAAATAGTGATGATTTCTCAATCCGGATATTTAACTCTGAATTATTTAAGACAGTTATTTAATTTCATTTAGGAGAAAAGGTTTATTATTATTCTTGCATCACTCAACAATAATTTGTTGATGTTTACTCTGGGTTCAATGGAAAATGCTGGTGCGTGGCCTATGCTCCTCCACGAAGGGTAACAGGCGTAAGTAAGTAAATAAATAAGTAATTACTCAACAAGTGACTTATTATTACGACTAATGATTATTAAAGGTACTTATGTTGAATATTTTTTAACTATATTGGGAAATATATTTTTTAAACTGAAGATAGAAAGACTCAATTAAAAATCAGTGTTTCTGAAGTAAAAATAGGTGGAAAGTGAACAATTAAGTACGTGACCTAATTAATTCTCATGACCGTAAATTCATGTGTAAATTTAGTCAGAATTAAGCACTTGCTAAATAAATAATGAGTAATGACGACAAAATCAACTTAATTTTATTCAACAAATTAATCATAAAAATCTTTTACAAAAGCAGTGATTTGAATCAGTTCAATCAAATAAGTGTTTAACACTTCAACAAATTATAATTTCTAGGTTTTTTTTTAATAAAAATTAAAAGTAAAAAGCGTATGGAAGATGTGATGTTGAAATTATTGAAAAGTTTAAAACAAACAAAGATACAAGCTTCTTTTTCGGAATCTCCAGAGAAATATGTTTTCAATTACTCAAGTATAACATTATAGACTATTCAGCTACAAGCATTATCTGTTGGTCCTAAATTTTTTAGTATGTCAACGAACATTAATGAACTCAACGCTGAAAGTATAAGGTTTGAGAAAATTTTACTTCAAGATAAAATTTTTAATGTCAGTAATGTATACTAAAACGACTGTTTCATCTTTATTTAAGCTTTCAAATAAAATGTTACCAAACATATCAATTTATGGTTTCAATTACCTTCAACTAATATGAAATCTCAACTAAATTGAATAACTTTTAAAAATGGTCTTGCAATTGTTAGTGAGTGCCTTCAAGATTATTTTATTTATGAATTATTGAGAAACTATGAAATCGGTTGAAACAAGAGTATGATAGTTATTCCTTGACGACACAGTCTGATGATCAGGCGCAATTATGAACTGATCGGACATGTGAGATACTCGATGCTGGCTAAGTGGCTGGATGTTACTGTTCATTCTAACAAGTCCGAAGGATTTTAACTTAATTTTTCTGGGTCTCGGTATATCATTTCCAAGGAGTCCTAGATTAAAACGAAAAACACTGTTCGAGTTCCACTATTTCCAACGATCTTCTAGGTGGTGTATTTTGAAATGACGAATTAACATATATATTAGCAATATTTTGTTAACAGATGGGAGAAACGTATCATAGTATTTCAGAGAGAAACATACTATTAGGTGAAATACATTCTATACCTTTAAATTGTAACGTGGATCATGATTTCATTGGCTTTTTTGAGGTAATGATCAATGAACATTCACATCATGATTTACAGAATCATTTCAACCAATTTTATTCAATTTTCTAGTAAACGCACTCTTATGGTAAATGTAAAGATATTTCATTCATAAAGACCCATCTGTTTTGTTAAAAATACCTCGGTATCTTCCAATGAAGTAATATTAACTATACTATTTAAATATAATAACTAATATTTCACATGAATGAAAATATCCCCAGGAGATATCTTAGGATTTTTAGTTTAGTACAACGAGGTACATAGTCATACAAATGAATATGGACTACATCAGAACAACGATATTAAAAATTGATTTCCTGTAGTAATTTCGTTTACAAATAATACTGTCCGTATGAACAGGTAAGTGTTCATGTCTCTGAAGTTGTGTCTTTTGTTTGAATATTAAGAGAATCATACGGTTCCTCGGTGTTGCTAATACACTTTGATAGATAATCAACGTTTTCCTCATTTACTTCACATTATACCTTTGCTAAAATAATTTCTGAATTTTTTTCAAGGAATATTAAAACTTTGTCATACATGTATTTTACCTTACAAATTTATTTTCATGTATACATATATATTCTGCATTCGAAAACCTCAGATCTTGTGACTTATGTTTATTTCATATTAACATGATCTTTTTCAGAAGCATAAGGCTATCTAATCAATTCCGTTAAAGTAATTAGAAGGTATTTTTCATAATTGTCTGGCATCGTTCTAAGAACCGCTGAAAGCAAAAAGACAATGAATAGTGGTTTTCTAATTGTTTTAGACTCTTCACCGATGCACATAGATAATGACATACGAAATCGAAGTCAGTAAATTATATCCTCTAGAGTTTAGTGATCACAATTTTCAATTTGAATTTAAGCATCAATAATACACTCTTCATAAACCATTATCGGGTACTTGTTCCAGCAACTATCTTGAAATGTCATTTCAAGGTTATTGTAAAATACTTGGATGTTCTGTTTAAATGGATGGTGTTCTTCAAAAATTGTTGGGTCATTTATAAATAAACAATATGATATAATATGAAGTACCTTAGGAGTTGAAGATGGTTTCATGACATCAGACACTTAATTAGTGTTAGCTACCGAAGGGACTGTTTTATAAAAATTAATGAACTCGGAACACACTTCGAAAAAGATTAACAGTACCGATTATATAAAAATTAATATGTTATGCCACTGTACAAAGTGAACCATGTGAAGAGAAATGACATATCCGATGTATCATTTCAGTTTTTACCTGATAATTCATGATGTGACAAACTTTATAAATGTGCTGTTCAAAAACAAAATACACTAAAAAACTCTTATTTAATAATAAACAACTTTACACTATAATTCATTTCTGTATTGGTTTCGAATCTTATCATTGATGTTTGGAACTGCAATTGATCAGTTCCTTATTGACATGTGTGTATCCTGTGCGGATTGCCTCGATATTACCTTCACTCCCAAGCATTATAGGCAGAGATGGATGGTAGCTAGCAGTGGAATCCAGGACGTACGTCTCATTTCATTATGGACTCGTTAGCTGGATATACCACTGCTAGCCACCATACATCTCAACTACATATTGTAATTTCTACAGAGTAAAATTCACTTATTTTAAAAAAAGTTCAGTGAATAAGTGGTCATTAATCAAAACTAATACGTGATTTCTTAAATAAGATTCTACTTACGTGAGAAGATACGACTTTATCAAATATTTTCAAATATGTGAGCTTCGAAACGTCTCTGTTTGGGAAATTGAATCTGATGACTACTTAAATATTAGTTTGCGCTTGTATGTGTGTATGGAACCTGAACAGCCTAATTATCACTCAGATAAATTTGTAAACATTCTTCATTTATTCATTGGATTTAAATCATCTGATGGCTTTTGTTTCCAAATATTTTCTAAGTACCCTTTTAACCAATCAGATAGGTTTATAGAAAATACAGGTGATTTAGGTAAAATCATCCGATTGAAAAAAAATGCTTTTTCATGTATTATTTTTATTCCTATATTCTAATGACTACAAATAATTTGTGTTACAACTGAAAATCTGTTACACACACTAATGTTTTGAACAGGTGAGATTTTCGTGCTTATCTGTACACCTTTTCATTGCATCCTTTAGTGTCTTTAAGTTCTAATTATTACATACCAGAGGAAAACAGAAGTGTGGTCGATGTTAAGAATTCCGAACGGGCTATATCCGTGTAACTGATCCCAAATTATGAAGAACAATTATCACACCAACCGAGTGAACATAATCTTTATTGACATTATAAATTTTCCAACCTAATTGATTTTAATATACGTCTGAGAAGGTATTGTTCAATGGTAATTCTTATGATTGGTTATTTCATTAATTACATTGAAAAACCAAGGTCTTATGAAGTATTGTAATGGTATAGTTAGATGGTGAATTCAATCAGAAAATAAAAACCGTTTTGACTTACTGTTTCGAGAGAGTTTCGAAAAGCAATGGATTCATATAAATAACTGGGATCAATAAGTATCAGCATTGAGCTTAACAAAATAATGTTGGCTGGAGATATTTTCAAAAAAACTTCAAGGTGGGATAAGTAATAACTACAGAAAATGCATTATATAAAATATATGGAAACAAACGAAGTATCAAGCGAAATCTCCCAAAACAATCTTCTACAACTCATCAGTTAAAGCTTAACAACAGCTTTGAAGATAAATGTGTTAAGAAAAATTATCCTGATTTCAAATCTGTCTCCAACTATCGTACACAGGAAAAAAGATCTCATCTTAATTTTGATCAAACCAAACAAAAGCAAGTGGTTCATGTACCACTACTTCGATTACGTGTTATCTCAACAAATCCAGTTCAAAGAAACTAGCTGCTTTAGATACTAGTAGTGAGTGTATGCCTTTTAAGGTTTTATAAATATATATATACGAAGATATATTTTTGCACCTAATCGACCTGAGTTTCATACTCGGGGCTTACTTAACCGTTCGGGCTACTCAATGTATATACTTATGCATGAGAATTACAGAAGTTCTCGGACTTATGTAGTTCAAGTATATAGGTGTATGCAAAAGGTATGCATGAGGCGTCGTATAAAAGAAAATGTTAAGGTGCAAAAACGTATGCCCTATGTCTAATAAAATCAGCGGGCCATATATAAGGTCAAAGACAGTAAAAATAAGTAGTAGCAGATACGAGGAAGAGGTCATCATCAATCTCCCCTGAGAGAGTGCTTATGCATATATGTGTAACAGGAAATACGGAGGCGATAGCCATGAGATGAATGATGTGCATGTAATGTGTAAGAGTTAGTCTAGTGTAGCGAACACGTTTTCTTTGAGAGTGGTGAACATCCACCCTTCCAGGTGGATGAATATACTTATGTGTATGCTATGGGATTCATGAAGTAAAAGCTGTTTGTTACCTGTGTGCATGTAACGTATATTTACTCACAGATTATGTACAACTGTATGTATGTCAAGTGATAACCGGATGAAAGTACGTGTGTTGTAGACTATACCTAAATAGTTCAAGTAAAATTCAAGAACATTTTTACTTGTTCTTGCGTGAGATAGCAATATGCATGCAAAGACTCGCCCAGGCTGCGGTCCCCACAAAATGTGCTGAGATTGTGAGTCTCGAAAAACGGAACCCAGAAACAGAAGGCCATAACTCCGCCTGTAGCTCTTCGAAGGCTACTGTCGGTCCCAAACCCAACACAAAAGATAAGAGTAAGTATTGGGATCAGCATCCCTACCCCGTAGAACACAACACTCCTAAGAAAACGCTCACCAAAATCAACAAATTACACCATTTAAACTCTGACATCCAAGTTGAAGGATCTTCTTTCAGAACAACTATGACGCTTCGTTTTGCACCATAGTGCTACCCCAAAAAATCACGTTGACTAGTGCTGTCCGATTTTAAATGTTTATCGTTCTTCGGATTAATATAGGACAACTTGAACTTAAAATTATTTTACAGTAACTGAATACCTCCATTTAATCCATTGTATAAAAGATCATGGCAGGATTTCATATTTCGAGTGAATAAAAACTGTTAAAATTTCAGAAAACATTGGGTTTAAGAGTGATCATTTGTGGTTAAGGAAAACACAACCTGAAAAGAGGGCACAGAAAAACCTCACTATCGGAATAAAATCTCTCTAATTTTACAAAAACTGTCACTGAATAGTATTTTATCTTTATCATACGAACATCCCTTGGAATTTTTAAAATGTAGTTTGGATAGACTAAGCTCAATGTTAACTCCGCCTACAGCCCACATAAAACTAATGTTAGTCCCAAACCCACACAGAGGAGAAGCGTTGGGAGTGGGATCAGCATCCCCATCCCGTAGAACACAACACTCCTAAGAAAACGCTCACCAAAATTAACAAATTAAACCATTTATACTCTGACATCGAGGTTGAAGGATCTTCTTTCAGAATAATTATGACGCTTCATGATGAAATCAAAGGTTCTGCCGAAGTAACGAGGCCGATACCACTTCTATCAATCAGAGCAACAATTAATATAAGTTCATGGAATGTTCGGACAATGTGAGAAACTGGAAAGATCAATCAAATAGCTGTGGAAATGAGATTATACAAATTGATAGTACTCGGAATCAGTGAAACCCATTGAACTCAAGCTGAACAGAAAAGGGTAGATTGAGGAGTGGTGCTGTCGTGCTCTGGGCATGAAGAAGGAAATGCCGCACACACACACACACTGAGAGAGTTGCCCTGATTTTGTCCACAGAAGCACAAAGAGCACTTATAGAATGGAAATCTCAAGACAAATACGGGATGGATCACATTAAATGTTATCCAGTGCTATGCATCCACCAACCACAGCAATGAAGACGATAAAGATCAGATTTATGAGATGCTGCAGTTAGTCGGTCGTGGAGAAGTGCCCAATGTAGGAACTGTCGGGACCATCCTAATGGTAGACTTGAACGTCGAAGTCGGAATGTACAACACCGGATATGAAGATGACATTGGACGACGTGAGCTGACTGGGAGAAACGTTCGATTATGGAGAGAGGGAAAGGGAAAGGGAGAGAGAGAGAGTTGCAAATTCATGTGACCCCAATAAAATGGTTATTGACACTACTTTATTCACCCACAGGCGCATACACAAAAACCACATGGGACTCACCGGACCACATCACACTACAGAGAACCAGACGGATCTTATCTGCATCACTAGAAAATTCAGAAGGTTAATGGAAGTCACGAGAACCAGAAGATGAGCTGACGTGGCTTTAGATCACCACCCGCGTGTGGTTGACAAGATGAAACTGAAGGTAAAGAAGCACTGAACAACTGGCGAAACAGCATCACAAAGGTTCAATACAGCCTTCCTTCGACATACTGACAAACTCAACCAATTCAAGATAATTCTGAACAACAGGTTTCAAGTCTTACGAGATCTGCTGGAGGTAGAAGAAGAATAAGAAGAAGAGACTACCATGGTGAACAATTGAAAATATATCGAAGGAGCACTAACTTCAACGTGTCAGGAGGTTCTGGGTTGCAGGACACATCATCATAACGAATAGATCTCCATCGAAATGCTGAACAAGATTTGAGAAAGGAAGAACATGAGAACACCAATGAACAACAGCTGAACAAGAACACAGAGAGAGAGAGAGAGTGAAGGCCCAAAGTGAATACACTGAAGCCAATCACTGAAATTCAAGAACAGAAGAACGGGTGGGTAGAACACTTTGAAGAAATCTTGAAAAGACCAGCTCTATTGAACAAATCAAGAGAGGGATAGCATCAAGACCAAACAACATACCATCTGAAGCACTGATGTTAGACAAAGAAGCAGTTACGAATAATTGTTGAACAATCAATTGAATAGAGCTTATCATTATGCATCAACTTCTTTGAATATGCGAAAGCATTTGACAGCGCGGATAGGAGAATCCTATGGAAGCTTCTTCGACAATATGGTGTATCTGAGACGATCGTCAACGTTATACTAAATTCATAGGACGGACTGAACTGCAATGTCGTGCATGGAGGACAGCTGACAGTTGCATTCCAAGTAAGGACCGGTGTTATACAAGGCTGCTTACTACCCCGCCCCTCTTCTCATTTGTTCTGGTGGCTGACTGGATCATGAAGACCTCAACATCCGAGGGCAAGCACGAAATACAATGGACAACGTGCATGCAATTGGATTAGTCAGAATTCACAGATGACCTAGCCCTCCGATATCACACACAGGTACGAATTCAGGTCAATACAGTCAACGTATCGTCAGGTGCTGCAGCAGCAGACCTCAAACCAGCACCAAAAAAATCACGCTTGACAGAGAAGCTCTGGAATGGGTGGAAAGATTTACGTACCTGAGGACGATCATTGATGAACAAAGGGGATCTGATGCAGATGTGAAGCCACAGATTGGCAAAACAGGGACAGCATTCCTACAGTTGATTATTATATGGAACTCAGAACAATTGTCAACCAATACCAAAATCATTATCTCCAATACGAACGTCAAGATCGTCATACTGTACGGGACTGGATGGTGGCGAACTACTATAGCCACAATCAAAAATGTACAAATATTTATAGACAATTATCTACTCAAAATACTCAATGTTCGTTGACCGGATACCATCAGCAACAACGTATTGTGGGAGAGAATAAACCAGTTTCCAGCAGCAAAGGAACTTAAGAAAAGAAGTTGTAGGTGAGTAGGAGATACATTAGGGAAACCATCGAGCTGCATCACGAAGCAAACTCTACCTCGAAATCCTGAAAGGAAACGGAAAGGGGGAAGAC